AAGGAAGAATATGGAAACGGGTTGAAATCGGGGATGAGAATAGAGGTGGAGTTGAAAATCGGGTAATAATAATGAAAAAGGAGCAGGAACGGGAAATAAAGGTACGAAAGGAAGGAAGAAACAAACAAAAAAAAGGAAAAAAAGAGAGAAGAGGGGATGGAAAGGGAAGGAAAATTAATGAAATTAAAGGAATTAATAGGGGTTAAGATTGAGGAACGGAAAAGAAAAATAGGAAAGAAAAGAGATGTTCGAGACAAGGATAAGCGCAAAAAGAAAACTGTAAGAAAGAAATCCAGAACCGAGATGGAGGGAATAGGAATGAAATAGAGGTGGGGATGGGGGTGGGTGGGGGGGGGGAAATGAATTGATACTAAAGTAGAAAACGAGTTATAATCTGATTTGATCCCCGATAGACTAATTTCCACATCTAAAAGCAATTTTCCTATTCATGATACGGTAAACATGATAACATTGATTACGTCAACAGAGGATTTAGTGCAGCTCAAAAGATCACTTCAGTAAATATCTGTAAATTCTAAAAAAAGGAAGAAAAAAAATTATGTATGTGAGTTGAAATTTTGTCGAAAATAATATCCTAATTGTTAAAAAGGACATTTTCCTTCAGATAATGCTTTATTTTTGGTGTAAACTTTAATGTGTCCAACTAATAATGTACTTTCAACATCAACTATATTTCCCCCTTTATTCCTGGAAAAACAATTATTCAAGTGTATATTATACAAACGCACACGTGCAAATACAAAAGCATTATTTCATTAATTACAGTGGCTATTAATTTTTCATAAACGGTTAAAATTTTCAGTGATAGCGGATAAGCAAAACAATATTAGGTACAAGAGTAGGAGGGTTAAGTAACAAAGTATTAACAATATTTAGGTNGAGGCGATGGGAGGACGATTTTTTTTTTTTTTTTTTTTTGATGAAAGAGAGATCGGAATGTTTCTTTGAGAGAGAGAAAGAGAGAGAGAGAGAGAGAGAGAGAGAGAGAGAGAGAGAGAGAGAGAGAGAGAGAGAGAGAGAGAGAGAGAGGAGAGGGCGAGGAAGAGAGGGGCGAGGGAGGGAGGGAGAGGAGACGAGGGAGGGAGGAGTACGAAGCAAACGTTATAATCTATGAACCAGGCGCCCGCACTCCATCCAGCCGTTTAAAACACCCGATCTTGGCCGCGAGTCCGAGGCTGCGGCGACTCTCAGCCTCCTTGGCCTCCTCCTCTCCTCCTCTCCTCCTCTCCTCCTCTCCTCCTTCTCTCTTCCTAATCTCTTCTATTCTCTTCTTGTTTTGCGTCTCTTTTGCCTCTCTGTCTATTTGGATTTATATTTATTTTTCTATTTCGTCTGTCTGACTGTCTCTTTGTCTCTGTCTTCTCTCTCTGTCTCTGTCTCTTTCTCTGTCTTTCTCTCTTTCTCTCTCTTCCTCTCTCTCTCTCTCTCTCTCTCTCTCTCTCTCTCTCTCTCTCTCTCTCTCTCTCTCTCTTCTCTCTCTCTCTCTCTCTCTTCTCTCTCTCTCTCTTCTCTCTCTCTTTCTCCTTCTCTTCCTATTCTCTCTCTCTCTCTCCTCCCTCTCTCTCTCCCTCTCCTCCCATCCTTGCCCTTCTCTCCTTCCACCCTCCTACACTCCCCCCTCCCCCTCCTATTACAGCCGACCCACACGCTCGTCTGCCCACCTGCCCACCTGTATCCACCTTGCGCACACCTGACCCACCTGTGTGCGCTCACCTGTATCCACCTGCGCTCACCTGTACCCACCTGTGTCCACCTGCGCCCACCTGTGTCCACCTGCTCACCTGCTGTGTGCTGTACCCACCTGTGTTTGTCACCTGCGCCTCACCTGTATTCACCTGCGCTCACTGTACTTGCACTCACCTCACCGCGTCACCCACCTGTGTCCACCTGCGCTGTACCACCTTGTGTCCACTGCGCTTCACCTTGTACACCTGCGCCCACCTGTGTCCACCTGCGCTCACCTGTACCCACTGTGTCCCTTTGCGCTCACCTTGTCCACCTGCGCTCACCTGTACCCACTTGTGTCCACCTTGCCGCTCACCTGTACCCACCTGCGCTAACACCTGCGCTCACCTTGTGTTACTTCGCTCCACCTGCGCCCACCTGTGTCCACCTTTGCGCTCACCTGTACCCCACCCTGTGTCCACCTGCGCCTCACCTGTACCCACCCAACCTGCGCTCCACCTGTACACCTGTACCCACCTGTGGTGTCCACCTGTGCTGTACCCACCCTGTGTCCACCTGCGCTCCACCTGCGCCCACTTTGTCCACCTGTGTCCACCTGCGCTCACCTGTACCCAACCTGCGCTAACCTGTACCCACCTGTGTCTGACCTGCCGTCACTGACCTGTGTCCAACTGCACTCACCTGTCCACCTGCGCCTAACCTGACCCACCTGTGCCACCTGTACGCTCACCGTTACCAACCTGCGCTCCAACCTGTACCCACCTGCGCCCCCTGTGTCCACCTGTGCCACCTGTCACTCGTGTCCACCTGCGCTCACCTGTGTCCACCTGCGCTCACCTGTCTCACCTGCGCTCACCTCCACGTGTACCCACCTGCGCTCACCTGTGTCCACCTGCGCCCACCTGTACCCACCTGCGCTCACCTGTGCCCACCTGGCCCACCTGCGAACCTGTACCCATCTGTACCCCACCTGTGTCCACCTGTACCCACCTGCGCTCACCCTGTACCCACCTGCACCCACCTGTACCCACCTGTTACCCACTTGCGCCCACCTGTACCCACCTGTACCCACTTGCGCTCTGTACCCGCCCACCTGTACCCACCTGTGTCCACCTGCGCTCACCTTGTACCTACGTGTCCACCTGCGCTCCACTGTACCCACCTGCGTCCACCTGTACCCACCTGTGTCCACCTGCGCCCACCTGTACCCACCTGTATCCACCTGCGCTCACCTGTGCCCACCTGTGCCCACCTGCGCTCACCTGTACCCATCTGTACCCACCTGTGTCCACCTGTACCCACCTGCGCTTCACCTGTACCCACCTGTACCCACTTGCGCCCACCTGTCCCACGCTGTACCCACTTGCGCTCACCTGTACCCACCTGTACCCACCTGTGTCCACCTGCGCTCACCTGTACTACGTGGTCCAACCTGCGCTCACCTGTACCCACCTGCGTCCACCCTGTACCCACCTGTGTCCACCTGCGCTCACCTGTACCCACCTGTATCCACCTGGCTCACCTGTGCCCACCTGTGTGCCCACCTGCGCTCACCTGTACCCATCTGTACCCACCTGTGTCCACTGTACCCACCCTGCGCTCCACCTGTACCACCTGCACCCACCTGTACCCACCTGTGTCCAACTGCGCTCACCTGTACCCCACCTGTGTCCACCTGCGCCCACCTGTATCCACCTGCGCTCACCTGGTGCCCACCTGTGCCACCTGCGCACCTGTACCCATTGTTAACCCACCTGTGGTCCACTGTCCCACCTGCTCACCTGTACCACCTGCACCACCTGTACCCACCTGTGTCCAACTGTACCACCTGTACCACCACCTATGTCTACCTCACCTGTACCTACATGTGTCCACCCTCACCTGTACCACCTGTGTCCATCTTGCGCTCACCTGTGCCCACCCGCGTTCACCTGTACCCACTCGGCACTTGCCATCTCTCTCGTCAAATTATCTTAACAGTTGCTCTGGTATCGTTTTACTGATTTTGCTTATTATTGTTATTATTATTATTATCTTTTGTGAAAATTGCTTTGTTTACTCTCTACTTCTGCCTCTGTTGTTTCCTTCATTCCATATTTATTCCGCTTATTTGAAAATCTGTTTATACATTTCATTTACTCCTTATGCCTCATCTTTAGGATTTTGCTCAATTTACCTGAATTACAAACACCTTGTTTCTCTACTTCTTGAACTCGCTGGTCGACCTTATTTTCTCGTGTTCTTCTACTTTTTTTACAATTATTTTTCTAAAAAATGAATAGCATAAGGTTTTGCAGAAATATATGTAGATATAATGTACTATATATACAAGTATATATATATAATATATATATATACATGTATGTATGTATGTTATATATATATATATATATATTATAATATTATATATTATAATATATATATATATATATTATATATATATATATATATATATATATATATATATATATATAATTCAAACATGGAGCCCGCATACACGTGCATTTTGCCTGCCTGCCACCACTTTCCCTGCCCCAACATGCAGGGCATTTTACCCCACCTTACCACTTTCCCCTACCACCTGCAGAACCAGCTGCCCCATTAGTTAATACCAGCTGGCACACCGCCTTCACCTTCCGCGCGAGTCAGACTCCAAAGCCATCTGCGTCTCTGGTATCTTGGGGGTACATATAATGCGTACACACACATATACGTGTGTATGTATATGTATATGTATATATATAATATATATATATATATATATATATATATATATATATATATATATATATATATATATATATATATATATATATATATATATATATATATATATATGCATGTATATAAGATGTGTATATACATATATGTATACCTATATGCGTGTATAATGTATGTATATATGTATGATGTATGCACAGCACAACCACACACACACACACACACATATACAATACAAATATAATATATATATATATATATATATATATATATATATATATATATATAATATATATATTATATATATTATATATATTATATATACATATATCTTGTGTTGTGTGTGTGTGGTGTGTGTGTGTGTGTGTGTGTTGTGTGTGTGTGTGTGTTGTGTATGTGTGCGTGTGTGTGTGTGTGTGTGTATGTGTGTGCGTGCATATATAAAAAGACAAATGAATGGGTATATATATATACATATATATCTACAAAGAACACACACACACATACGTCCACATGCATATAATTATATATGTATCTATTTATATGTATATGTACACACACACACACACACA